TGTTCAGAAGAAGTGGCTCACTGGGGGCATGTCCTTGAGGGTACTGGGACCTTAGCTCCTTCTTTCCCTCTCTGCTTCTTAGCCACCATGAGGTGAGAAGCTCTGCTCTGCCGTGTGCTCGCCACTATGATATGCTGCCCCACCACAGATCCAAAGTGTCGGGGACAAGCCATCTTGGATGAAGTGCCACCACCTAGGGACCAAGCTTCGAGACTTTGGGGGACTTTGCAGATCCAAAAGTAACAAGAGGTGTGAGCAGCAGAGACAGCTGTGGACCAAAGTAAATACTTGCTGCTCTAAGTTGTTGGTCTCAGGCAGTCTATCACAGTGGTGGAAAGCTGACTGGCACACAGAGTTGGTGTGGGACAGTGGGGTCAGAGCCTCTGGAGCTGGTTTCCAGGAGGAACTTAAAAATTAAGAGAAGCATTCTAGGAAAAGCTTAGAATGCCATAATCTGAGAATCATGGACAATTCTGGTTGGCGTACATTAGCCAGAATGCTGATAGGAATGTAGACATTGAAGACTGTGTTGATGTAACCATAATTCTGAGAAGTTTTTTTTTTTTTTTTTTAAACAAACAAAAGTATTCCCTTCAATTCCCATGGAAAGATGTTTTTCTTCAAGTTACTTTCTCCTCCTCTGTCAACCTGGTCCCTACACTACCCCATCTCTTTCTCATGGTATTGTAAATTCTACAGAAAGCCCTCTGCTAAGTCTTTCCTCMCCTCAGCTCAAAAGGTAATTGTCAATCCAAAAAGAAAAGGCAGACACTGACCCCAGGAGGTCAAGGTGCCCTTTAATGTGATAAGGAGGCAACAGCGGTGAGCATGCTCTTAGAAAAGGGATTTTCTGCCTTTTGAACCACTGTGCCCTTATTCTCCCCTCTAAGAACTGCTCTCATGAGCCCCCAGAGATGGAGATTTGAGACGAAGCCGGCTTCGAGGCTGTCTCCTGTCGGCAGTCTGTCTCCTGAGCTTTTGTGGAGCGTGACAAGGAGTGGAACCTTCCTTCCCAGTTACACTGATGAGGTTCCAGGTGAACAAGGACTGTTGGGAATTGGACCAGAGGCCACACGGATGACACTCTGGCAAAGAACTTGTCTACATTTTGTCCCTGCCCTGAAACTGTGTGAGGCTGCATTGAAAGGGGATGGACTAGTGTTATTTTTTTATTTTTATTTTTTTGGTGGGGGAAATTTCAAGGCAGCACAGCATTCAAGCTACAGCATGGGCATTGTTGGCTGATTTTAGCCAGGGTTGTCATGAGAATTGTGTGCAAAAAAACATAGCAGAAAGATTTGAAAAACTTGCAGTTTGGCCAGAAA